AAAAATTCCTCACCACTGGGCCAATAACATGATAAATGGAGAAAAATTGAAAAATTTTCAAATATTTTATTTTGTTTGGATCCACTGTCAATACTTACACAAGCAGCTTTCGAGAAATCAAATGGCATATTGCAGCAGGTAGATCTGCAAAAGACCTCTTTAAAGTGTTCAAAAGTGAAAATGTCAGTTTGAGGATCTTGGGTGTGCTGACCCAAGCCATGGTATTTTCAGTAGCTTCATATGCATGTTCAAGTTGGGACAGTGAATACGGAAGACCATAGAAGAACTGATGCATTTGAGGTAGCAGTGTTGGAGAAGAATATTAAAAGTACCTTGAACTGCCAGAACAAACCAATGTGTTGGCAGAAGTACAGCCAGAAAGCTCCTTAGAAGCCAGAATGGCCAGACTTTGTCTCTCATACTTCAGTTATATTATCAGGAGGGACAATCCCTGAAGGCCATTGTATGTGATGTAGTTTAGGGTCAGTGAAAAAGAGGAAGACCCCGAACAAGATGGTGTGGCACAGTAGAAGCCGCAGTGGACTCAAAGCAGAAAAACAATTGTGAGGATGATGCGGGACTGGACTCTTATGCATAGGGGCATTTTGAGACAGAACCAACTTAACAGCACCTAACAATAGGTACAAAGTAAAAGGGACTTGAAACGTTTGTAGAAAAGTTCCATTATCTTTTCATTCCATTGTTGATGTGCCCTCATATTATTTCATTGTGCTTTTGATTTGCACTTCCCTGAAGTGTCCTGGTGTGGTGCTGTGGGTTAATGCACTAGGCTGCAAAGTCAGTTTGAGCCGCAAGATCAGCGGTTCAAGCACTTAACAAATATACACACACGTACATATTATTTGTGTATGTATGTATGTGTATATATATATATACACACACACACATACGTATTTTGTTTTTGTTAAGTGTCATTGAGTCGGTTCCAACCCATAGTGACTCCACATAGGGTTTCCAAAGAGTAGCTGATGAGCTTTAATCGCCGAGGTTGCAGTTCAAACTGACTTTGCAGTCCAGCGCATTAACCCACATGGCCACACAGGACTCTCTCTCTCTCTTTGTATATATGTAGCTTAAACTAAAGGATTTCGTATCAGTAATAGCATAATAAGCATTACAAAATGATGCTAGCTGGATAAACGTAGAGTTCCGGGCATGTCTGTGTCAGGTATTTACCATCAGCTTCTTTATTTCCTGTTCCTACTGATGCATGCTGTTCTTAGCCCCATTGGTAAAAGTTTGAGTATCTTTTCATGTGTTTATTGGCCATTTGTATATCTTGTTTGGGAAATATTGATTCAAGTCCTTGGCCTGCTTTTTAATTAGGTTGTTTGTTATTGAATTGTAAGAGTTATGTATATATTAATCCCTTATCAGATTCTATGATTTGTAAATATTTAATTCCATTCTGCTGGTTGTCTTTCCTCTCCCTGGATCAATTGTTTTGATTTACAAAAGTTTTAAATTTTGATGAAATCCAATTTACCTATTTTTTTCTATTGTCTCTGCCTTGGGGTTCATTTGTATCTTGTGTGTGTGTTGTTTGCCTAGAGAAAAGATGTTCCTTGTTAAATAACTATATTTTAGTTTTTTCAAGTATATGTAACACTTTTCAAAATATTCCTTTTCTATCCTCTGTTTCAAAACCCCTTCAAACATATAAAACTCTTTTCTAAAAAAAAAAAGAAAAAAACCTTTTTTCTCAATTTTTGCTTGGTGGGATAAATGAGGAATTTGAGATTGTTGAAATGCTGTAATTTAAAAGGTGGGGAAAGGAGGATAATGCAGTGCATGTACTGACTTTGATTTTTGGAGTTTAACTCTGTCATTTAGCTTCTATCATGTTTCCCCTCAGATGCCGTTGTCTTGTTGTATTGGCTTTGCTTCTGTCCCCCATATTCTCCTGTCTCTTTACTTCCTAACAGGCATCCTCCAGACAGACTTGAAACCACAACTCACTGAGAATTCCCTTGTCCTTCTTAGGAGAAAGGTTAAGTGAATTTGGGGGTGGGGGTGTGGGGTGTGTGTGAACGACTGAGAATGGTTGCATTCAGCTATTTAAGAAAAATGTAGTTAAGAGACTCGAGGGATGAAAACCACCTTTGGCAAGCCCAGCTCCTCTTTTATTTTGGGATACTATATAACCTCCCCATCTCTGTTCCCGGCCCCTAATTAAACTGGTGGTGGTGGTGGTTATGTGCTGTGGAGGTGGTTCCGACTCATAGAGACCCTGCTTATGATTTCTGAGTCTGTAAATCTTTATGGGAGCAGAAAGCTGTATCTTTCGCTCATGGAACAGCTGGTAGTTTTGAACTGCTGGACCTCGAGGTTCGCAGCCCAACTCATAACCACCACGCTACCAGGGCTTCTAATTAAGCAAATAGGAGAAAATGTAGGTGAAGGACAGCTCTTCCCAATATTCTGGGGGAAAATAATAGTTAAAGTAGTACTTAGCAAGAATTTTTTTAAAAATATTCCTTCTCTTGGTGAAGTGGAGGGTCAGTGAAAAAGAGGAAGACCCCTTAATGAAATGGATCGGCACAGTGACATCAATGTGGGCACCAGGCAGTGTTTCTTTCTGTTGTGCACAGAATTGCTAGGAGTCAGAACCAAGCCGCCAATGGCCCCTAACAACAACTTACAGCTTAAGAAAAGTGCATCCTCAGGATGTTATGTTAGTTCTGTGGGGAATCGGACTTGAATCTTATCACTAAATGACTTCCCTTTGAATACAATGACAAATCAGTTTGTTTTTAAATTGCTGGGTTTTATTAATTGGCAAAATGTCAACATATTCTTTACCTGAATGAACAGTTTTGATAAATAAAATATGAAAAGACCATTCATGATCACAACAGGACTCAAAAGTGAGCTGTAGAGCAGGTCTGTAAATTGGTAAATCCACTTGGTAAGAAATGATTTATTTCATCCGCTTCACTCCATTGGGAATTCTTTGCAGAGAAATGGCATAAACAAGAGAACAGAGCCTGCCTCTCACCAAAGAGCACCTAGAGTAAGAGTTAACAGTGATGCATCTGTGGATTATTTCATACATCAACGTTTAATGTTAGAATATTTCTTTTTTTTAAGAGTAACTGCTATGTCCGTCTGGAATTCCCTATCCTATTTCCTATTTTCTATTTAGTACAGTAAACAGTCTTAGAAGATATAATGCTGCTAGAGGAAATAACAAGGTAAGTCATTCTTTTTCAACAAAGTTACCCTTTGTCTGGAAAACAGTTTATAATACTGGCAATATCTGAATTTGTTTTGAAAAAGACGTTTACGCTTTTCACAGGTCAGAACAGAAGAGTGGATCTTTTTCCTTTAACACTGCATGATTTTAAAAGGTGGGGGAAATGAATTCTTTCTCTCATTTATGATTCAAAGAAAAATTGTCCCGAATTATGGCATGAATAAAACTACAGTAAAAATCCTTTTATGGCTTTGCTTACATGAGAATGTGCATTGAGTGAACAACTTAGCTTTAAAAATTAAAAATAATTTCAGTCATAAAGCCTCTGCCAACAATGAGCTTTTGATGGGAAAGAAGTAGTTGATGTCCAGCAATTTATCTCTGACTGAATGCCATCATTTCCATCTGCCCATTCCATGTTGGACTTCTCACTGGCACAGTGTTCCAACAATGAAGTATTGTCATGAAAATGCAGTATTGACACAATACCACTATAAATGTGCTCAGACTTGGACTCAGAGTTGACATTAACATGGTTGACATTATCCTTGGAAAAGCCGTTCCTTTCAAGGATCCTCCTAGCTAAATTCAACGGAACAGTAGTAACTTTAGTTTTAGGAATTCAAGGATAATAGATGGCACTTTTAGGTAAAGAAAAGGTATGTATATATTTCTGTCTCCACCCATCCTCTGATGGACAAACCTAACCTCAAATGTTGCCTAACCTCAAATGTACACAGCTAGGAAGTGAATAAAGGAAACTGTTACATCAGGGACTGACTCCCTTTGAAACTCACAGTGAATGTACAAGGAGTTTGTAAGGACTTCAGTTGGTGACTTGAAGTCGTTTCCCTAACCAGTACTACACTTCCTTGTTTACATGTCTCACTATTTCCTATTCTAACAAAACTTGTTTTAGCAGGCAAACAGATTGATGCAGATCCTGTTAAATTGAAAAAGGAACAACACTGCAGCTCTTTAAGGATTGAGTGTGTAGAACTTTCACCATCACTAAGTTATACAATGAATAAAAGTACAAAACACAGAATTCACAGACTATACCTCAGCATTAACAATTAATATATATTATATACTTTTATATCTGTCTAATATTTTTTATAGTCACCAGATACACCATCATTAAATACAAATTACAGAAATGTGTAGATACCATTAGAGGGGTTTTTATTGCTTACGTCAGCAAGCAGCAAATAAGGGCACAGGAGTTTGAACTGAAGGGAGCTAATTCCTATCACCAGTGGCATTGAGATATAACACTGCATTTCACAAAGCACTGCTGCTTGTCTAGTGTACAGAATCGAGCAGCATGTATCAGACCAATAACCGCTACTTTAATAGGTATTATAGAATTTTAAGGACTAACCTTACAAATGGTACCTAACTACTCTATAAATATGCATGTTGTGAGTAAATGAATAATTGCTATTTTTTACAATATTGGTTTCTAACTTGACCACACTGGAACTACTTTGCTTTATTTTCTAGAGGGCTAATGGTAATGAAAAATGGAGTTAATACTGCTTATGTCGTCAGATCTACAAAAAAACAGACCCTTCAAGCTGTGGTCTGTGTTCGTCCCAATTTCACCCACTGAAGAAGCCCATCACTATACCTGTCTCTCCCTTCCACCTTGTTTATTCTCTTCATAAACATTACCAGTAGACAACTCTAAAAAATGGAGACAGTTCTTTTTTACTTAGCTAAGTGCTTGGACTCGAATCTACACCGACAGTAAGTTGTCTCTGTGTTTTTGTTTCCTTAGATGACTTGACTAGAAACTGACACTGCTGCTGGTGGGTTGGTCACAAGATCTAGACTTCAGAGAACGACAGATGTGCATGAGGTCCAGGTGTGGGGGTCGCGAGTATCAGAACTATGACAAGATTCTAGGACAGTAGCTGGGGTTCTGTTTACTCCTTTTCAGCCGTACCAAAAGATTGGAAAAAAGGAGAAATGGCTTCAAAGTCAAGAGAAAACAAATACTGAAGATATTTACTTACATCCAAATTTAAAAAATAAAACCTGTAGGTTATAACAATCTGATCATTACTAATATGAAGCTGTTTTTAGATTTACTTAATATAGATATGGGGTCCTGGTGTAGCACTGTAGGATAAACACTGGACTGTGTAACCTTGAGGTGGGCAGTTCAAACCCACTAGCCAATCCTCAGAAACCCTATATAGGGTTGCTGTGAATGGGAACCGGCTCAACGGCACTTAACAACAATAATATAGATATACTGGCACCCAAAATAGGCTGTAGTCATGTATGTTTTTAAAATCTAGGAATGTTAGTCCTCCAGTATGGGGTGTGGCACTGTAGAATTAAGCACTGGACTGCTTAACCGCAAAGTTGGTGGTTCAAACCCACCAGACACTCTTTGAAAACCGTATACAGTGTCACTATGAGTTGGAACTGACTCAATAGCATTTAACAACTATGGGATTAGGAAACTGCATAAAATCATAGTTAGGCAGGCAGTGGGCATCTTTGTACCACAGCATTTTGTGCATCTTTAAGAATGAGTGATTTTCATCATTACAAGGGGGCTGCCCCTTTCCATCAGAATGGTTAGTCCATGCTTGGCTGGGAGAAGTTACCAGGTCACCTGGGGACATTCATGATTCTCAGAGAATCTGAGACTGCTTCACTGCCTGAATCTAATTACTCATTTACTTGCTGTCTTTAGTTGAAGATAGGCTTTTGGGTTGAAACTGCAGAAATAGTAAAAAGTAGACAACTCTTAAGATGTCAAATATAAATACTGAATAAAAGGCATGTCCTGTCTGCAGTCTGAAATTACACGTAGCCAAACTCCAGCGGCGGGCTCCCCAGTTACAGCTGCACAGAACCTGCACCTCAGCTCACGGTAGACCCTTTCTCACACCTTTCACTTTCAATTCACTCTTTTTGGGGGAAACAATTTTAGAGAAAAGAAATTTTATAGTAGTCTATTTGTCTTTGCTGTCTATAAACAAAAGGGGGAGAGAGCAGAAACATTAGAAATGCTATTTGATATACTTTTCAAGTGGCAATTTGTTTTCTTCTATTTGTACCTGACATCATCTCCAGCAGCCACTTTGTTTTTTCCTGAGATGAAGGTACAGTGACAAACACATTAGCATCACAGATGAAAACCATTTGATAGCTGTCTCCTAAAATGACAAATAAAAGTTCTGCCCAAAGCACCAAAACAGGTTATAAAACTTTCAAATAACTAAAGCCCTAGGAAATACATTTTTTATTTAAAAAAAAAATTTCATAATCTGCCTTTTATGTGGCCGGGGGAGGGGGAGATCATTTAAACACTGTGATTATACACTGCCTCACAAGTCAGATTCTGACATTGTTTTAAAAAAAACAAACTAGTTTTCTAACTTCCATTGTTACTAGTTAAAACCTTTATGGCTTTTAGTCTTTTACCTACCCAAAAAAGGGTGGAGGAGGAGTTCCTTCACTGCCCCAGGCTTTGGGGAACATTTCCTAACTAAATGTAATTCTGCATTAAGTTTTCTGTAAATACATTAGGCACATCAGACCAGATTTCAACTGTGTTGGAATTTCAACACTATATCCTGACTGAAATAAGCTGAATCACAAGCATCCACTAGTGACGAGAAGGAAAGGGTGTAGTAGACGGGGGTGCGTTGTAGGTAGGTGTGGGTACACATCACAGGGACCTCTTGTGTAGGATAATTTTGGTAGTAGAATCGCCAATACTTTTCTTTAGATTGAAAACACTGTACTTTGAGTTCCCTAAAGATCTATTTACATGTAAGAATGGAGCCATTCATGATTCATAATGAAGTACGTATGTTTCAGAAATGTCTACCTTGTTTCTACTCTGATGGTGGTGGTTTTATTGGGAGCTAGCTAGCCTATATTAAAGAAAAAAGTATTCTATGTTATATCTCCAGGGAAGAGCTGAGCCTGGACTAGGAATGCTCTTCCTGAGTTTCAGCAGGTTCTCACTGTTTCCTTTCCAACTATTTTGCCTCCATGGCAGAGAACTTCTTAACATCCTATTTCTCTGCCCACTTCGGATAAGTGAGGACAGGCTAGTGCCTGTTTTGTGGGAAAGCTCCCAAGCAGAGAGAAAGGAATAAAACTTGGCATTAAACCTGAATCCATGTTGCTGCTTTGAGTAAGGGTGCAGTAAGTAAGACAATCTAGAAACTCTCTTTCCCAGGGATTTGAGCTGTTCGTTTTCAAACCTAGACCAGACGGGAGATGAGCTCTCCCTTCTGTGTATCTGCTGCCCTGTTGAGCCCAAATTAAAAGAAGCAGGAAACTCTCCAGCACCACTCCATTCAGGCAATGATGATTGGACTGGTATTTTCTCCATCATTAGCTCATTAATAAGATTTGGTTTCTTTGGTGCACCAGGACCAAACATCTCAATTAGTGGCAAAAACTGGGCACCGTGAGGTTTGCTTGCTTCTATCTGTGTGAGATCTAGGTAGCCTGGGTCTTCCAGCACGTTGATTTGGGACCCTGGGCTCAGGCTAGTTCTATCGGTGAAAGAGTCCACGCGCCCATCATAGCCTAGATCGGCTGGTGCTGAGCACTGGTGCTGAGGCCAAGGGCGTGTGCACTCTCCATGATTCTCCTTATCACCCCCACCATCTTCTTGCCCTCCTTGAAAAGAGTTCTCTGTCCAATCTGATTCCTCACTAACATTTACAGCTTTGTTCATGTCCCTCAGGAATACCACAATAACAGTGATATTATCACTTGACCCAGCATCACGAGCTGATGCCACTAATTTATGGGCAACCATGCTGCTGTCTCCATTGTTCTCCTTCAAGTGGTCAGACACAACTTTCACCGCCTCGTCTGGGTTCACGGTGTCATAGAAGCCATCACAGGCCAGAATGAGGTAGTCTTCAGTCCCATCCAGAACAGTAGATGCAGAGTCTGCCTCCCCACAGATATATGGCTTATGTTCGGCATCTCCTGTGTGAATGAGAAAGCAGGGAGATCGCAGGTCAGGTTTTGGGTTTCCCTTGCTTGCTAAGAAGGTTTACAGCCAATGTCATGGCTCTGATTGCAAGTTAACCAAAATTATTGAAAATAATTTATAAGCTAGCTTTACACCAAATACTTGAAATTCCCGTTACTCGGATGCTGCTGACCCCTTACTCTCAAATAATTACCAGTCACTGGCAGAACTCATTATCTAGCTTCGACTCCGAGTCTTACGCCACTAACTCTGCTTTTAGGCTTAGCTGAGCATGATGGCAAACAATGTCAAATCTAAATTTGTGGCTGTACTGGAAAGTTCAGTTCTATGTAAGTAAACTGTCGATTTAGCAGATCTGTTCTTTTACTAATGGTTAGGCTTAAACTGATTGAGGTTTGAGTACAAGTCCACATTGAACAAAACAAAAGTCTGATCATTGTCTTCCTTAAGCACTTAATTTGTTCTGTCCTTGTCTTGAAATCAGTAGCTTCATGCTTTGCAGAAGTTTTGAGCAACAAGGAACTTTAAAAACTCATCAATTCCAGTTCCTTCAAGGGAATGCCCTGGAGCTGACCCAAAGTCTCACATGAGGGAACTAGATAGAATGCAGGTCTCTTGGTCTCCAGTGCAGTTGCTTTCTACTGGGCAGAGAAGAGACCTCAGTTGGCGGAGAAAACAGCAGCATGTTAGACACTAACTAATGTGGCTAGAGTACAGAGTGCTTAGAGTAGAAAGGAACTGGAGGCTTTGGGCCCACACTAAGCCAGGTTTCTATCAACAGGATCATTGAGAAAATTGATCATCTACGATGCAATCTTCAGATCCAAGCATTGTTCTCCCCACATACGTACTTGGGGAGCGTGCCTACTAGCAAAAGGATCCATAGCCTACAGAGTAACCAACAAGCTAATGACCACAACAAAGGAATACTCATTCACTTTACATCAAAAGCAGTTCACTGAGACTAGGGTGTTAATAATTCACCTACTGACAGGAATAGAAAGAAAAAATTATAAAAGTGCTTTATAGCCTAGCGGTTCAGGACACCAGCACTGACATCAGACTGTCTGGGTCCAAATCCCAGCTCTCACTAACTGCATCACACTCATCAATTGCTGCCTTTTCCATTGCAGTACAATTGAACTTTTGGTAGGGGAAGATAAATCTACTTACTTAAGTGACATAGTTTCTGGTATTTGTTATAGGCTCTCTCCTACCCAATCAAGATTTCTCTACAACATTTTGTATCCCTGTTCAATCCTCCAACAGGCCCTGAAAACCTGTTGGATAGCTCTGTTAAAACCGAAGTGAGCCACGGGCCTCTTCAGCATGTTAATGGGTTACCCAGAACAGCAGATATTTATTTAATATAATTACCCGAGTTACTGTACCTATCAGGTAAGAAACTCATCTTTTGACCCTATGAATTCTCAGCTTCTCTCCTATTCACTAACCAATAACCCTCTTGTCCCATATCTAAGCTCGTCATTGTTTCCTACAGCAGCCAAGCGTGGTTTTGATACCTTCTGCTTCTATACTATGATGCTTCCCGCTAGCTTGTTAGAGCTGATCAAATGTCCAATCATGGGAGTCAGCATCCCCCATCAATCCATTTTACTAAGTTTCCCCATCCTTTACTCTACCTGATTATATTATCATCATCATCATTATTTTCTGAATGCCAGCTCTAAAAATAAATGTGATCTGAGTCATACTGTTCCCAAAACTCTACTTTTAGTGCTTCAATTAAAAGGCTACTGCAACTGTTAGTTTGGAACATAACATACAAAGATTTGCACAGAGAAAATACTGCCAAAATTCTGGCTTTTCACCTGCTCTGCTGTCGGGTGTCAAAGTCATGACATTTCGCCCCCAAATTTGGTAGGAGGGCATGAATATCCATTTCATGATAGAAATGGCAACATCCTTTTGTCTTCAACCGCCTCTCTCCATATGCTAGGAAACATATTTTGCCTTTGTCAACTGGGGATCATGAATCTGAAGGCCTCATGGGAAGAAACAATTGAAAAGCTTTTCATTTTTAAAGCTCAAGTGGCCTTTATTTCCAAGGTAGAGTTGAACTATGCTCAGGAGTACTTTTTCTTAACCTTATTTAGCCCCCTATTTTATTCTGTGGAATTTCTAAGTATGTTCCCTTGTCTGATTAAAGTACTAGAATTTGGTAAGATTAAGAAAATAAAGTTGAGACTTGTCTGCTCAATCTCCCCACATTTGTGTTTAGTTTTAGATTTTGCTTGTTGGCTCTGTAGAGACCCAGCATCAGCTCCAGAGGAAGAGATGCCTTTCTCCCTCCCAAAGGTAACCTGTGCACTTGGTCCTGACTTTTCAACGTGCTCAGCTTCAATTTCTCCTCTAACTTGCCCTCTTTTTTTTTTTTTTTTCCTATAAATATGCTCAGATTCAAAATCTCATCTTAAAAACAAAAGTAATAAAAGCATCCCTTTCCCCAATCAGCTTTTCCCTTGAGCTCCACCACATGATTGCTCCCTTCCTTCACTACCAAACTGCCCAAGCAACAAAATCTACACGAAGGGCTGTCCATCTGCTATTGATCACTGTCCTTCACCTCTTTTTCTGTCTACTATTCTAAAACATTTCCAATGTCACTAACCATTTCCTAACTTCAATAGCTCATATCACTTTTTTTTTAACCTGTGTCCCGGCCTCTGACAGTGTTGCCTCCTGAATACCTTCCCATCTGATAATGCCCCACTTCTGTGTCTGACCACTTCCTGTGTTTTCGTCAGTGGCCACTCCACTTAATCACAGTGAACACTAATAATCTTCATCTGCAAAGACTGCCCAGCACCGTTTAAGTGTGCTGCATGTATAGCTCCATGAATTAGGTACTTTAGCTCTACATTACAAAGCACAGACAAATAGAAGTGAAGTAAAATGTCAAGGCCCACAGCTTGTAAACTGGCAGAGACAGAATGCAATCTTAGGAAGTTTGACTCCGTTTTCATCTCCTACCTTAAATAATGGCTCTCATCCTTGGCCTCTCCTCACATTGCATATTCTCCTTGGGCTTTATCGTCCATGCCTACGGTTTCAACTACTGTATATATCATTTCAGACCTTGCTAATACAATTGTCAAAGTAGGATGAGTTCCCAAATCTCTTATCTCTAACTCAGAAATCTATGCTATGATAAGCTCCAGATCTATTACATTTCCAATTTATGTATATAAATTATATCTCCTAAGGTATCCCTGTAATATACAATATGTCCACACTAAGCTATCTGTCCTTTCCATCCCCAAATGATTCCTTTACCACAAATGTCTTTATCATCTTCCCATTTACACAACTTGTTGTTGTTAGGTGCCATCAAGTCAGTACCATCTCATAGCAATCCTATGCACAACAGAACGAAAGACTGCCCAGTCCTGGGCTAACCTCATAATTGTTGCCATGCTTGAGCCCATCGATGCTGCCACTTTGTGCCAATCCATCTCGCTGGGGGTCTTCTTTTTCTCTGACCCTCTACCTTACCAAACATGATATCCTTCTCCAGCGACTGGTCCCTCCTGACAATATGTCTGAAGTATGAGAGATGAAGTTTAGCCATCCTGGCCTCCAAGGAGCACTCTGGCTGTACTTCATCCAACACAGATCTATTTGTTCTTTTGGCAGTCCATAGTACTTTCAGCATTCTCCAACACCATAACTCAAATGCGTCCAACTCTTTTAATGTCTTCCTTATTCACTGTCCAACTTTCACATGCATATGAGGTTACTGAAAATACCATGGCTTCAGTCAGTCATAACCTTAGTCCTCAAACTGACACCTTTGCTCTTCAACACTTTAAAAAGGTCTTGTGCAGCGGATTTGCCTAATGCAATACGTCCTTTGATTTCTTGACTACTGCTTCTATGAGTGTTGATGGTTGATCCGAGAAAAATGAAGTCTTTGACAACTTCAATCTTTTCTCCGTTGCTACAGATGTTGTTTATTGGTCCAGTGGTAAGGATCTTTGTTTTCTTTACATTGAGATGCAATCCATACCCAAGGCTGTGGTTTTAGATCTTCATCAGTAAGTATTTTCAGTTTTCTTCACTTTTAGCAAGCAAGATTGTATCATCTGCATATCACAGTAAGTGTTCCTCCAATCCTGATGCCACATTTTTCTTCATGTCACCTGGCTTCTCAGATTATTTGCTTAGCATACAGGTTGACTAAGTATGGTGAAAGGATGCAATCCTGTTGTATACTTTTCCTCATTTGAAACCATTCGGTGTTCCCTTGTTCTATTCGAACAACAGCCTCTGGTCTATGTAGAGGTTCCTCATGAGCACAATGAAGTGTTCTGGAATACTCATAGCTTGTCACGATCCACACAATCGAAGGCCTTTGAGTAGTCAATAAAGCACATGTAAACATCTTTCTGGTATTCTTTGCTTTCACCCAAGGTCCATTGACTTGTTTATGTAGGTCTTTAATTTCTTTGAATAGTGTTTAATATTTTAATAATTTTCACTAAATTCAGGTGGGATATATTCAAGTTCATATGTTGGCTCTTGTGGACTTATTTTCATTTTCTTCAGCTTCAGCTCCATAGTCTGCCCCGGCCTTGTTTTGGCTGATGATATCGAGCTTTTCCACTGTCTCTTTCCACAGACGTGGTCAATTTGATTTCTGTGTATTCCATCTGGTGAGGTCCATGTCTTTTATACTGGTTAAAAAAGGTATTTGAAATGAACAAATCTTACAGAATTCCATCATGCGATCTCCAGCATCATTTTTATCACCCACTACTAATCCTTCCTCTTGTTTCCAACCTTTGCTTTCCAGTCGCCAATGATTAGCAATACATCTTGATTGTAAGTTAGAAAGCTGGAATTGAGCTTTCCTTTTCCAGTTTATACTCCTTAACCACAGTCGTTTGAATGATCTCCCAGTCATACTCTTTCTACTCTCGTCTGGCTTCTAGACTATGACTACATGCATCTTTGCAAACATTAAGTCTGACTGATTATACACTCCTTTGCACCACCTGTGGTCAGCTGCTGTTGAGTCAGCGACTTCATCTGTTAGAATTTTCTTGGCTGTAATCTTCGGCAGTTCAAACCTACCAGCCATTCCTTGGAAACCCTATATAGGGTTGCTGTGAGTTGGAACCAACTAGACAGCACTTAGCAATAGCAACAATCTTAATAGAAGCGGTTTTCCAGAGCTTTCTTCCACCTGTATTACTTACTCTTTAACAATTTGGTGCCACAATTTTGATTTTTTTTATTTCCACTCTGCTCTAGCCTCCTGTATTTGTTGTCCCTAAAACATTCTATGCCCTTGAAAACCCCCATGTATCCACACACCTCTCTCTCTGCCTGGAATGTCTTTCCCAAAATACTATCCTTTACATCCAACTCAAGTCACTTTGACTATGATGTCTCTGTATATCTCTTAGCGTATCACTTAGAACATTCTTCTCCTGTTATAGTTTTCCCTTGTGCTGTATTTTTAGATGCAAGCAAGGGTGAATACCCTCTAGTAAGTTAGTTAGTTCTATACCTAGTATTAGGGAGCTCTGGTAGCGTAGTGGTTACGAATCGGGTTGCAAACCTTAAGGTCAGCGGTTCGAAACTACCAGCCGCTCCGCGTGAGAAAGATGAGGCTTTCTACTCCCGTAAAGATTTACACCCTTGGAGACCCTGTACAGGGTCGCTATGGGTCGGAACCGACTCAACGGCACTTAACAACAACAACATCATACCTACTATTAAAGATAGCCCTCGATTCTCCGACAAGATCAAGAGGAAGAGAACTTTAGTGTTCTATAATTTAATATTGGGTGGGTTAATGTGCTGGATCTGAAAAGTTGATTTGAACCACAGGTTAGTGGTTCAAGCTCACCAGCCACTTGTTGGAAACCCTATACAGGGTCACTATGGGTCGGAACCAACTCGATGGCATTAAATAACAATATTTTAGAAGAGAAAAGATTCCCCTTTTTGGCCTTATTCCAAAGTTACTAATAACTCCCTCAATCTAAGGTAAGTAGACACTCAGTTTTTTTTTAGAGGCATTTGTAGACTCTTACAGAATCTTTTAGCTTTCCATTTTTCTTTCAGCATTCTGCTGCTCATATATTCAGGCCACTTCACAGCTTGCCAGCCCCTTTCCAATGAGTGGTAGTAACTCAAATCAGTGGTGAAACAAAAATCAATCCTTTAAGATTTTATTAATGTTCTGGAATTTTTTGGTAATGATAACTTAAACATGGAGATTAGCTACGAATTCCATCTATCCATCTTGTTAAGAAGGCAGGAATTAAAAATACTGTGGCATATCACCCATATAGACACACATGATTTTTTCTTTTTAAAAAATCAGGAAGTGAAACTATGCCATGAAGTCTAAAGTAATAAACCTAGAGCCCAGAGTGAGATAGAAGAAACGGTACTAACACCCAGTTCTTTGAATTCATAGCCTTGTGTTTTGTGTGATCGGTGTGCTGCTTATAAGTTTTAAGGTTTCATTAACTTTCCCTTTCTTTTGACTGTACTAGATCCCTGGGAGATAGGTGCTTGGAAACTCTGGGGGTATATGCCAAATTACAGTATTGTTGGGAGGTGTTGAGTCTATTCTGATTCATAGCAACCCCATGTGGCAGAGCAGAACTAACCCACAGGATTCTCTAGGCTGAGGCTCTCTGCTTTATGATTTCAGAAGACCTACATAGACTTGTTTTGGATCTGAATTGAGTTTCTTGTTTTTCTTAAAAAAAAACCTTTATGAAATAAATCACCAGATCTTTCTCTCACATAGTCACTAAGAGGGTTCAAACTGTCAACCTTTCAGGTAGCAAGCACTTAACCACTGCACCATGAGGGCTTCTTAATTGTGGCACTGCTGTTAAGTTCTGTCAAGCTGGTTCCAACTCAGAGCAACCCTGTACAGTGTTTCTGAGGAGTGGCTATCTATTTATGTAGATGGAAAATAATTTTCATGTAAAAAGAGCAACTTTTCATCTACGAATATATTCTGTTATTTATGTCATTTTAAAATTAATTTTATAAGTTTAAAGCTATAAGCAAGGTAAAATGTGGGAAGAGTCTTCCATTTTCTGGAAAATGCGGATTTAAGCTAATCATGACCCCCAAATTAGAATGCAATAGAGACCACTGTGTTTAAGCAGGTTTGTGTGCAAAAGATTCTGGAGCTGTAGAGTAAGCATTAGACTGCTAACCACAAAGTCAGTGGTTCATACCCACCAAAATCACTCCTTGAAAGCCCTATACAGGGTTGCACTGAGTAGGAAATGACTCAGCAGCACTTAACAAAAACAACATTACTAGTTAGAGGCCCTGGTTGGTACAGTTTTAACTTTTTGGTTAGAAAGATTAGCAGTGCAAGTCCACCCACAGGTATCTGAGAAGAAAAACCTGGTTATCCACTTCAAAAACCAAAAAAAAAGCATTTGAAACCCTATGAAGCACATATCTGTTCTGAACACAGGGTCACCAATGAGTTAGAATCAACTTGGTGGCAACTGATAATAATGACCAAATAGCTAGTTAGTTAAATTAATTAAAAGAGACATTCTCTATTTGATACTATTAAGTTATCATCTGTAGGTTCTTGTTATAGCAGTTAGATAATGAGCTTGAAGGAGGGCAGTTTGGAGCTACAAAAATTAATTGAGTTTTCCTACCAATAGCTCTGGAGACGGACAGACTTCCATTCACCCTCCAGGCACCAAACCAGACTACACAACCTCCAAGGGCCTCAATCCGCTGCTTTTCATCCTACACAGCAATGCAATAAAAAGAAGCGAATAATTGGAATTAGACTTTATTCATCTGCTTTACAGTAAATAGCAGGCACTCTGCTCAACAGCTCCCCAGAAAGCCTCTCTTTATCTTTTCTTTGGAGGGTATGGGTAGTTGTTGAGATAATAGTTATAATGGCGAATCCTAACCAGTACCTAGAAAACTACCTTTATGGGCATGTACCCCAATAGGACAGACTATACTTACCTCTCTATCTGGTTTATGTGGCTTCATTAATTCAACAGCTTGGCCCTTTCTCACAAGCATCACCTGGGAATCCCCTACCCAGGCTACATGCAGCATGTTGCCTCTGATAAAAGTCACCACTCCTGTGGTCCCACATCTTAAACTCTGAAAATAGTTCAGATAAAACAGAGTCAGTGGAGATAAATATGACACCAAACTCTCATTTAAAAGCAATATAATTATAATGAATAGAAACATTAATTGGGAGCAAGACCATTAATAATGCAACATCTACAGGCAGCGGTTCCTATTTTTCAAAGCATTTTTGTATGCATTTATGTTATTACATATCCACACACACATGTACCTAATCTAGAAGGTATGTGAGGCAGGAAAGATTACTGACTCCATTTTATATACAGGTAAGTGTGAACAGGCATGTGATTAATACATAAAACAGAACTGAAGTTCTAGTCTAATGTTTAAAGATTTCTGTATTTTCATGTTCTGGTCTCCTGTTTTGGTCCTGACCTAATGTATGGTCTGGGGGATGGGACAGTCCTAGCTTTACAGAACAATATCCTAAAAAGCATCTGGCTGACAACCAATGCTCTGATGCTTTGGCTATTAAGAGTCAAGAGATAAACATGCATTCCTGGAGTGCTCGGATGCTTATACCTTTTTTGAAAAAGTCCTTTCTCTAATATTTTTAGGGCCTTGCTCTTTGAGTATTTGCACAAAGAATTGCAGCACAGCCTGGAATTTCACTGCAATAGCTCATGAGCACTGTACTTAAAGTTCTTGATACTACTATACTAACGAAACAAAATAAAATGACATCTCCACTTGACATGAGTCACCACCAAATGGTCATGACTTTCTGTTACTAAGGACGTGGCCTAAATTAGAACCAGTGCGTCAAGGGTGGTAAAAGGCCCCTAGTGAGAAAAACAACTTCTCATTTTCCCTATATGGGGAAAGTCTGTTATAAATCCTCACCCACTAATAAAATGCCTTCCCACACAGAACACTGAAAAACTCAGCCCCCTGGAATCCATGATAAAGACACTTCAGTGCACAGGCCCTGGAAAGAACAGGAGGCAGGTCTGCTTCACAACAGGAGCAGCTACTTGCTTCCCAGCAGTTGGCAGCACAAGAAGGAGAAAAGTAACTGCTGAGACAAACCCTAAGTATTCCAGGTCATAAAGAATTATTGGCAGAGCTGAGAGACACCAGGATTATAGACACAAATTTAACATGGCCAGGAAAAAAAGCCATAATGTTGAGGACACAGAGAAAGAGCTGGTGCAGAGGAGGAAGAAGAGAATATTACTCTTGGTTTTCATATCAGTGGTTACAGATCACATTATCAGTGGCCAGGTCTTGACCTCATAAGGATGAGAGCCAGCACCTCCCACAGAGATTACAGCAAAGGGCTGGCCCTAGAGAGACCCTGGGTCTAAGGTCAAGAGCTTGGTTTTATTTCCTAGCCCCACCTCTGAGTGTGGACCCTAGTAGTCATTGTTACTGGATTTACATATTAATTCAAACTTGGAATCCAAAAGAAGGAAAAAATAACACAGACAGATACGTGTCCTGGTGTGCCATTATAGGATAAGCACTGGACTGGTAAGCACAAGGTCAATGGTTCAAAAACCACCAGCCGTTCCTTGGAAATGCTACATAGGGTTGCTATGAGTTGGAACTGGCTCGATGGCACTTAACAACAAATATATCATCATTGGTCATGTTCGTTATGTGCCGTGGACTTGGATCCGGCTCATAGCCACCCTGAACAGGGTTTCCGAGGCTGTAAATCTTTATGCGAGGAGAAAGCCTCATTTTTCTCCTGCAGAACAGCTGATAGTTTCGAACTGCTGACCTTAAGGTTCACAGCCTGATTCATAACCACTGAATACCAGAGTGCCTTAACATATATGTTGTTGTTGTTATGTGCCGTGGAGTTGGTTCCGGCTTATAGCGACCCCTGTACAGGGTTTCCGAGGCTGTAAATTTTTACAGGAGCAGAAAGCCTCATCTTTTTGAACTGCTGACCTTGCAGTTCATAGCCTGGTAGGTACAGTTTTAACTTTTTGAACTGCTGACCTTGCTGGTAGTTTTGAACTGCTGACCTTGCAGTTCATAGCCTGATTAGTAACCACTACACTACCAGAGCTCCTTTTAACATATATAGAAAGAGAAATTATTTTTCTTGCTTAGTCCCAAATAGTTCTGAATTAATGTCTCATTAATCCCAAAACCCATTCCACTGTTGCTTTGTAGCATTAACTACGAGATCGAGGAAATGGATTAAATGATTACTTTGTTTTCCAAGTCCATTTCAAGAAGAGTTCATGTTTTAAGTCAAAGGGCAAAAGTCTTATTTTCTCTATGCATATAAAATTCTATAATTACTTAAATTTTTAAAAGAATTATTTTCTATTGCTTTCCAGTTAAAAACCCAATATACAGTAAGTACTGTGTTGCTGTTAAGTGCTGTCAAATTGGTTTTGACTCATAATGACCCTTATATAAAGATTTCCAAAGAGCAACTGGTGGGTTTGAACCACTGACCTTGGTTAGCAGTCCAGTGTGTATCCAACACAGTACCCACAAGGACTCCATATAGTACTATAGTTAATTATATATATATCAATACCCAGGATGATTAATTAAATCAAAATCTTTCTCTCAGGTGTTAATTTAGAGCCTGGCATTCTTTCAGAGTAGGATACTTTCCAGGATCACCTACAGAGTCCTCCTCTCCAGTCACATTCCCCCTCGAGGCGCAGATGTATGGGAGTTAGCCCAGCTTCTCTCTCCTTTCAGACCACTGTTTTAATCACCATATCTACACCTTGTCACAAGAGTGAGGGCAGAACTGGCCTTGGTGTGAAGCTGACAGGCAATGGTGAGTAAGAAAGATAAAACTCATCTGTCAAAGCCAGCTAAGGGGATTTTCTAGAAAATCACAGCTTGAGAGTTTCAATACAGTACACCATAGTACCCTACTAAAGCTATTGTTCTTGAAAAAGGAGTTCAACATAAAACAGAATCCAATAATGTGAACTAATAATAATGCAGTTTGGGTAAAAATTTTAAAGACTATCTGCCCAAAAAGAAAAAATTCAATATAGCCCTTTAAGCACAGACCAAGTTCAGCTAGGCCCATGCAGTCCTGGCTGGGATTCATGAAACAATGGCATACCTCCCTGGCTGCTTTCTGCACAAACCGCTCATCTGTGACCCGGAAGGCCCGGCACAAGGCCTCAGCAGGATCATGGGGGAACATCTCCTGACGGACTAAGTTAACGTGGAGGTGAATGGAGGCATAGATAGCAGCATCCACTCCACCATGGCCATCAAACACTGCAAAATAAGCTTGTTCTTCCTGGTCCTGCACAGAAACACAGCAAACAGTTACTGGAGTTAGGTGGAACATGACTCAAACTGAGCCAAGCCCCTGGAAACACTGCTGCCCACCCTCCTCCTTCACTGTAGTTGCCACCCAGATGAGGAAACAAATGTTTCCTTTTTCTAACATGTCTGACCAACTGCTGAAATACCTGCAATATTAGGGCATCTGTGTTTACACACCAGAATACTGGAAAACATCATGCCCAATTAGCTCAGGCTGAAGTGCCCTCTCTCTGTGAAAGTTGTTGTCTTGTGCCATGGAAACCATCCACATAACATTTGCTTCAAAATTGCTGTTACCAGTGGTGGAGGAGGTGGGGAGGAAAAAAAAGGTATGAATGAGGAGGAATTGAGCAAAATCGTTCTGGATTGAGTCCTCTTTTTCAAAATGCAAGTACCTTAATAATAAAATTAGAACCTGAGAACAATAAGAAATAATGTCTTCCAGAACAAGGCAAATTATTTTTAGGTTGTTTAAAGTACATATGAAAGTATACACATATGTGTACTTCCAAACTATAAGACTTCTTTCATAAACCTTCATGGTCACATTGAATTCTCACCATAAGTTAGCACAGCTAACTAACCCTGTAAATCAAACTTGAAACACATTAGACATCCAAATGCCATGTGGTGGACAGTTTGTGTCACCCATGATCCAAGATTGAGTTTCACACTTCCTTGCCCACCCACACTGCCTTATGTTCAAAGGTGAACAACTACTAGAGGAGGGTCTTCCAAATCTGTGCCTTGTCTTGACAAAGGAGTCCTAATCATAAGGTTACACTGAAATTAAGTAGTTTACCTCTTCATTGTCAACTCGTGTTTAAATATCAGCTCTACCTCAACTGAGGTGACTCACTGGTCGCCCACTGAGTCTGGGCTCCTGTTAGGCAACAGTAGGTAATGATTTCTATTTGCAAGTTTTCATTTATTTATGCTTGGACTCTTAAGAGCCTTGGAGGTGTCCAAACCATATCATTTTCTATAGTGCCTGTTTTCTCATGTGTTATGCACTGAAATGGCTATTAACACAACAGATACATCTATGCCTTGATAAACTTCTTTTAAAGGACTATACTGCATTTACACAATTATCAAATATCCATGTCCAAATAGTAATAACACCCAAATATAAAGAAATATAGAGCCCTGGTGGGACAACAGGCACATAGTTACTAATTGAAAGGTTGGTAGTTCAGACTCACTTGTAAACAAAATGTCACATCCCATGGTATTATTATCCAGACATTATTTTAAATGTTACCTAATATATATCTCATGATCCAACAGTTAGTATTCCCTTTAATGATTTAAATCATTTTCAGTTTTTATTGTAATTGTTGTATAAAATATTTGTCAAACAAAATGCAATGTAAAATTTTTCTGCATTTGTTTCATTATCATAAAGAATTAAAAATAAAATGACCAGATCAAAGGGTGTGAAATTTTACAAATTTTATAAATACATATATCGTCAAATTGCTCAAAGCCTGTCTCATTATAGCAAAAGGCTCCTGAATGAGGCCCCTGAATTGATTTTGACATGAAGAGGTAAAATGAAAACCAGCCAAGTTCAATAAACAGCAATAATGAGTATCATCTTCAGGTGATATAAGGATTGTTATCACACAGCAGCCTCTTGAGTCCCATCTGCATGGGCATGGTAACCTTTGGAAATAAAGATATCTGCTGATCTATTTTTATAAAGTAAGTACCAATTACCAACCCACCACCATCAATGCTGTTAGACCTTGACAGCTAAAATTTAAATTTGGCTGCTAAATGAAGGAAATGTTGTGCTTTGTAAAAGCTACTACGCTGTAATTTTTAAGTTACGAATGTGAGTGAAGAAAAGAGATAAGTGACAGGAAAAGGAAACAAACCTACCTCTGTTTGCATTAACATAATACATTCAATAGAAGAAGTAGAGAAAGATAACAAGAAAATGGTCATTAAACTGACAAAGCTCATATGGATCCAATTTGTCAGTCAGAGAGATTCATGAAATGTAATTGCAGCTCCTTTCCTCTCTCTGAGGCCAAGAATGTAAAACAAATATCACATGAGAGCAGATCACTGTCTGTCTCAGTCTCAGACTCATTTTTTTATGTTTGTATTTTGTGTTGCTTCAGCAACATAGGAATGTGGGAAACTTAATAAACACCATTTGATTATACTATAGAGGTAATTTCCTTTTTTAAAAAACAAAAAACACTGTGATATAATAGTTTCCTCTTTTTTTTGCTTATTTTATAGATAAGCTCTGGAAAGTGACATGATAAACTGGTACCTTTCCATTTCCCAGAATGGAGTATCTGGGAGCTAAGGATAGGAGAAAGGTTTTATTTGGAGGTTTGTTTGTTCCCCAATTTTGAACCGTGTGAATACATCACCTATTCCAAATAACATATCAAATAAATATTTTCTGTTGTCTAACGTTAGTATATTTGTGACACTTAGCCTTTAGCCTTCCTCTAATGCACCAGAGACACTGTTAGAAATAGATTGGAAGTTCTCCTTTTATAGCAAGACCATGAAAGTGTTTGCTTTGTTTTTAAGTTCACTGATTCTCTGGCAGTGCCCTTTACCTCTAGGTTGAAGAGCATATTAAAGTCAGGGATGCAGACATGTTTGTCCTCCATTTTCCTGCGCATGTTTTTGATGGCATGAATTGATGTCTCATAATAGAGCTGGGGTCTCCTGCGGAGAGGGAAGTCTTTCACCCAGCTGCAGCAAATCTCGTGTAGTTTGCTGAAGACAGAACGGGCCAATTTCACTGTCTCAATCTCTGTGAAGGAAAGAGAAACCCCCAATGAAGAGCCTTGGAAAACTGCTTTTCACTTGCCTGCTTGGGAAAGACAGAAGTAGGTCACCTTAGTCAAACGCCTCTTTAATAGAAGAAATTCATCCTTCTCAAGAGAAATGAAACGCTGCTTCTGAAGAGAGAAAACGACAACTAGCCTAGTAGAGAAGCATCCGTCAGCACCTGCCTGGAAGATATCCTATGTCCATAAGGAGAAAACCTCTGGCCAGAGTTGGGTCTGTCCTCGCCTTGATTCCTTCCAATCCAGGAGGACACTGTGCTGCCACTGCTCCCTAGTTCAGAGCAGAGATTCCCCTTTGGTTGGCTCTCACAGTTACCAACTCACGGAAAACCTATGTTTAAGAGAATGCCTGAAACAAACACAGTGGCTTATCCACCTCATTGGAATCTGGAAGGCCTATGAAAACAGACAGTGTACAAGTTGCAGGAATAACAAGACTTTACCTTGATCACCATTTGTCTTCCTGACTTTTCCCCTTACCTCCATTTCCTATCTCTTTTCTCTCCTCTAACTGATCATAATTTGGAACTGAATTAGATATATTTTGTAAATTGATGTATGTGCTTATTAAAGTTGTATACTACTGGTCAGCAAGTTGAAATGTTTACATTTCTCTAAGGACTAAAATAAAATTTCTTGGTACGCGTGACCCTGGATAGAGAGCTATCAGAAAAACAGCACTAGTAAGATTCTTCACCCTCAACCATTGTGGCTAAGTGCCATTGAGTCAGTTCCAGCTCATAGAGACTCTGAATAGAGTTTCTAAGGAACTAGTGGGACAAGTATTTGATTTAGTAAGCATAGCTTACTTGTGGCTTTTTCTCCTGTAACATTTTTGTATGACTAAGAACCGGGGGTACACTTGAAAGAGGAAGGAAGTTCAAATACAGCCTGAGGACATGTGTAAATGAGGGACGCTGATGCCAGTAGACAACCCAACATTTTGAATGTTTTGAGCAATTCCAGTTTTTTTAAGCACCACCTTCCAGAAATTCCCTCTTTCTGCAACAATTTCCTCCTTTTACCACTCTAACCCTCCAGGTCTCTGCAGCAGCATGTGTCCCCAAAGGCAGACTTGGAGATGGGTGTGTCCTGTTTGATTCAATCAGCAGAGGACTAAAAGGTGTGGGGTGAAACAAAGAACTGATATTATCAGGATAGTTCCTGGATTGTCAAATAATAACATAAACTTATTATTTCAGTAGGATAAGCACTTGAACTGTGAACCACAAGGTTGGCAGTTTGAGCCCACCAGCTGCTCTGCAAGAGAAAGATGAGGCTTTCTACTTCCACAGATTTACAGCTTCAGAACCACTATACAGGGTCTCTATGAGTCGAAACTGATGCAACAGCTCTTAACAACAACAACATCATTTCTGTATATCTTTACTATATAGATCTACACTGCCCCGGAGTCCTGGTGTGGCACTATGAATTAATGCACTGGACTGCAAAGTCAGTTTGAACCACAAGATCCATAGTTCAAGCTTACCAGATGCTCCTCAGAAACCCTATACAGGATTGCTGTGGGTCGGAACCAACCTGATGGTAACAAACTGTCTTGGTGTGTTGCTATAAGCTAAACACTGGACTGCTAACCAAAAGGTCAGTAGTTCAAACCCACCAACTGCTCTTGGAAACCCTATATAGGGTCGCTATGAGTCAGAACTGACTTGACAGCATTTAACAATAAGATACTGTCCAACTAAGTAGCCACTAGCCACATGTAGCTATTTAAATTAAAACTAATTAGAATTACATGACATTTGAAATGTCATTCCTTGGTTGCACGAGTCATATTTCAAGTGCTCAATAACCACACATGGCTAGTGGCTACCATACTGGGGAATGCAGAATTACCAATTCTAAAGAACTGTGCTGGTTTAAAGCTAACCATAAGGTCAGCTGTTCAAATCCAACAGCTACCACACAGGAAAAAGATAAAGCTTACTACTCCCATAAAGATTTACAGTCTTGGACACCCTATAGAAAAGGGTCACTCTGAGTCAAAACTGACTCAATAACACACGAAAACAACATTAAAAAAGGGAAACAACGCCACTACATCTATCTATAACCTTTCCCAATGGTTTGTGCCCTGTTATTACACTTTTTCCATGCCATCTTCTGTAATTTTTACCATATTTTGTGGTAATTGATAAAATTTGAGTACTTTCTATGTTATGGTAGTGGTGGTGTGCCATGGAGTTGGCTCCAACTCGTAGTGAGCCTGTACACGGTTTCCGAGGCTGTAAATCTTTATGGGAGCAGAAAGCCTCATCTTTCTCCTGCGGAACAGGTGGTAGTTTCGAACTGCTGACCATGAGGTTAGCAGCCCAACTTGTAACCAGTATACTACCAGAGCCCCTTTGTTATGTTGTAGGGACTCCAAAATATTTCATAGATAGTTAAAAGCAGTCTCAATTTCCAGTCTACTGAACTCTAAAGCCCAATGCTCTTCAATCTCCCAAATTAGATCTACAGCTAGAGACTGCCTTAATTGGCTTTGATTAGTCATAAGACAGTGCTTAGCAGATAGCAGGGGCTCATTAGATGTTGAATAAATCAACAAATGGATAAATTAATCACTAAAATATTAATATGTGTGTATGTTTCTTGATCTTCTATTTGGTTCCACTGATCTCTCCCTCTAGTTCTACAATGGTATGATTATCTCTAGATCACTGTAGCTTTATATTATGTTTTAATGTCTATAGGGCTCTTAATTTGTAAAGAAGTTCCTTGTATAATTTTCCATGCTTATTCTTCCCAGATGAGCTTTATAATCATTTGCCAAGTTTTAGGAGATAACCTGTTGGCATTGTGTTTGGGATCACATTGAATTTATAGATGATTTTGGCATCTTTTTCATAATGCATCTTATCCTGGAACAAGTTGCATTGTTTCATTAATTTAAAACTTCTATTTATATTGCTCAATACAGCTTTAACTTTAGTCCTTCATGTTTCTTAATCAGCTTATTCTTACTGATTTATTTGCTATTTTGGGTCAGAGCCTTGCTTAAATGTGTTATTTGCCACCTAGCAAAAAAATGTCACATGTTCCAGTGGCATTTCTTCTTATACTCTCCCCATCCATGTGCATCTAGGGGCTGTTGTTAAATTGATATGTGCCATCAAGTCTGTTTGACTCATAATGACCCTGTATTAGGGTTTCCAAGGAGCGGCTGGTGAGTTTGAACCACCGATTTTGTTGTTTAAATTGACCTTGTTGTTCATTGCTTTATCCCACAGCACCACACCAGGTAGGATTTCAGTCCAGCCAATTAGAGAATTACAGTTTGGGGCTACGGTGATTGGTTCAGGAATGGGAAATGATCCAAGTTTGAATAATGAAAGTAAATCCTGGGGCTTATGTAAGACCAAGTGAGAAAACATACCCTTTTGTTTTTCCTGTTCAACTTGGGCAGATAAAGGCTTGGCACTTTTAGCAACTATCTTACTACCCGCATGGAGCCTGAAAATAAAGTAAAGCTGAAAGCTTTAGAAAGGCCAAGTTCTGATGATGTCATTTCAAGACCAAGAATCTAGCTATGCGTGAAGTCACCCTAACCTTGGAAGTTAGCCAATAAATTCTAAGCTGCTGAAGCTAGTTTAAACTATGATTTTGATCATTTCCAAGAAAAAAATTCCTGAGCCATACAATGAGAATTCTTCATCATTATTAAGCATAAATGCTAGATTTGAGTTGGGCTAGATTCTGTCCTATCATGTACTATCCATCTTGTCCTATTTTAAGAATCAATTAAAAATTAAGAATGGATATTGAATTTTTTCAAATGCTTCTTTTGACATGTTTAGAGAAGACTATGTTTTCTTTTAGCCTGTTAATCTATGTTATGCTAATAGCATTCCCAATATTTTTGTTTTATTCACTGCTGTTTTCTCAGTACAGTGCTAAGCATATGGTAGGCCACCAATACAATACTCACTGGAGGATTAATTGTTGTACTCTTTATATAAATATTTTACTTAAGATTTTTTCATTGATTACTAAGACTGGTCTTTCATTTTCTTTTTCAGTTTTGTCTGAGGCAGGTTTTGATATCAATTAATGCTATGCAAATGTTCCTTCTGTTTCTATGCAATTGAAACACTCATTTTGAAAAGCATTGGAATTATCTTCTTTGACAGTTTGAAAATGTTCACCTGTACTAGGTAAGACAGCTTCTTGAAAATGTTTTCAATCTCTTTCTTCTTAGGTAAACTTTGTTCATTTATTTATTTTTCTAGATAACATCTAGAAATTGACACAATTAAAGTTTTCATAATTACTTTAATTTCCTCTTTGTTCTCTCTCACATTTCTAATGTTCACATTGGGATATTTCAGTTAGTTTTAGGCTGTCTGGGACAGAAATCACATCTGCTAAGTGAAAATATTAATAACCAAGTCAGATACATAAGGTCACTCATCAGGTCACTTGCTGATAGACGTAATGTAAACATTAAAAGAACTTTGAAGATTTTTAAATAAAAAGTCTGTTTTTGGAAACAACAAAACAGAGGGGTAAGTGGTTGGGGACCCCAGTGACTTTAAACCACTGTTCAGTATGTTCATTTCCTCAATCTGAGGTATGGACAGATATCATATGCCCTTGTAAAGATTCGCCTCAGCACAGTTCACACTGAAGTGATTTCTGTTAAATTGATGAAAAGTTTGCAAATGTTTTAGAATTTTAGTGGATCACTCTGAATCACAGTAATGGCTTAGAGACACTCAGAAATGTCCAGTGGTGCTAATCTCTTGGGAAAACATAAAATCAGAATGATCAGTGATACTCATAAAATAAAAACCTCTTCCAAAGTAAGGATATAGGGGGACACTTCCATTTTGCTACCTTAAATATTCTGCATCTATAGGCAATGGTATCGTACATTAATACATAAATAATTGCTACTTGAAATGGGAAAATAAAAATTTTAAAAAGGGGTGCAAGAAAGGGAAAATTGTCCAAAGTCAAAATCCACCCCCTCACAGCTGTAAATTACTCATCAGCTGTTAATGTCACTGTACTGAGCTGGAGCTGAGTCAGCCATCAGCCTGGCTGCAGTGAAGCAGAACTGTTCTTCCTCCTCTTTTCATTACAGGGCTTTCACTTTGTAAACAGTACCAGAGGAAAGACCAATGCACTGTAGCAGGAATTCCATCCAATTTGATGCTGGAAACAACTTGGATCCAGGTGAATCAATTACTATCAATAAAAACCAGAGGAGGAATTCATTCCTGGCCAATTTTCTGTCAAAAACAAATCTACATATAAAAGAACAAGAATGTTTACTTTTATATCTTTCTGACACTCTCTGAAATCTAGCTACTCTGATTCATTATGTACCATGTTTTAATGAATGCAAATGCTTCAAACAGAACAAACGGCATGAGATATTTAAAATATTTAATAATTTTTACTAGTAATTTCCTTATTTTAAAATACAACAGTATTTTTAGTACCTGTCAAATATATATAAGCCTAATGCATTAAATAAATATGCCTTCATTAACAGAATCTCATATTTTGCCTAGAAAAAAAAGTGTGTAATGTCCCACGCAAATAAATCACATATTATAAATCTGTCTTAAATCTAACCTCTATTTATTGGTAGATATAAGATTTAATATAATTAATGAACTTTGTTACAGCTGATTTCTTGAATTTTCATATTGGACTTTTGATTTTTACTTGGACTTCTGAAAGCAAGCCAAACATTTTTAATGGGTTTTCCTTAAACTCTTCCCCCTAGCTATCTTTTCTGTTCTGTCTTCATATTCTCTACTTCACTACACTTATCCAGATACTTATAACAACTTCCTGTGGCTCCAAATACTTTCATGCATCACTGTATTTTTAAAAGATATTCCTGTAGTTCGGCTCTACTTTTCTCCTTTTACTGATCCATTAATACATATCCATATATATTACATTTTTTTCTCTTGCTATCATTATATAGAAGTCCTAATGTGACACTGTAGGATAAGCACTGGAGTACTAACCACAAGATCAGCAGTTCAAACCCACAAGCCACTTCTTGGAAGTCCTATACAGGGGTTGCTATGAGTCAGAACTGATTGGATGGCACTTAGCCACAAAAACAACTACTACATACTCAGTACACTGAGTAAATGTAATTAAGGGTCTGAAGTATTTTGCAGACACTTTCTGTGGATCACTAAATATGAGAAGATGTTAGTGTTTTAAACAAATACTGTAGAGAGGCACTCACCCACGGTGCCTTCTGCGCCATCCGTCTCCTTTGGTATATAATGTGCAGAAAGATCACTCTGAAGGACTTCATCTGACGTGGCTCTGGCTAAAGCAGCAGCCAGAAAGGAAGGGCAATTACTGAAAGAAAAATATATAAAAGGCTACTTTAAGAATCAATTAGGAATCAATAAACTTAATAGTTAATTATTAAAGCATCCTGGTGGTGCTGTAGAGTAAGCACTGAACTGCTAACTAAAGGTCGGTAGTTCAAATCCAGCTGCTCATAGGGAGACAGATGGGACTTTTGCTCCTGTAAATATTTTGTTCTTGTTGTTAAGTGCCTTCAAGTCAGTTCCAACCCACAGCGACCCTGTGCACGGTTTCCGAGGAGTGACTGATGAGCTTGTACCACCTACCTTGCAGTTCAAACCAACTTTGCAGTCCAGCGCATTAACCCACAGCACCACACCATTATAGCCTTGGAAATGCTACACAGGGTCACTATGCATCAGACTTGACTCGATGGCAGTGGGTTATAAATTTCTAGTATATTGTCTTAAAACAAAATTATTCCTTTAAACAGTATTCAACAGAAATTTGTTGAGTGTTTATTATGGAATGCATTGTTAGGTACTCTCAGGAGTTATGGTGTGGTGCTATACGATAAGCACTGGACTGCTAACCACAAGGTCGGCAGTTCAAACCCACCAGCTGCTCTTTGGAAACCCTATATAGGGTGGGTATGAGCTGGAAATGACTCAAATGCACTTAACAACAACAACAACATGAGGTACTCTGCTAAGTGCTGGGTATAGATTGCTGAATAACACAAGCATGGTGCCTGACCTAGTGGAACTCACAATCTGGTTAGGGAGACATGATAAACAAATAGGATGTAACTTAAAATTGGAGTGTACTTTGTAAAGGAAAAAAGTGACAGAGAATAATAGATAGGATTGTGAGGAGTGTTATACGTTAAAGGATGAAGGAAACTCAGTCATGTGGGGTTTGGGGAGTTGGGAAAGAATATACCAGGCAGAGGGGACAGCATGTGTACAGGCCCTTTTTTGAGAGCTTAGTATGTGTTCAAGGAACTAGAAGAAGCGCAGAGGAGATGAAGCATAGTGGGTGCAGGAGAAAGTAGCAGGGGATAAGGTCAAAGGGCTAGGTAGAAAGAAGTAAGGCACATGGGCTATTTAGATCATAGTAAAGAGTTTGATTTTTGCTCGGAACAGAATGAGAAGTTGCTAAAAGTTATAAGAGTACCACAACCAGATATACTCATATGACTTCAAAGATGAGAACAAGAATAAAGCAGAGTAGCCAATAACAAGATTGTAATCCAGGTGAGATTTTTTTTTTTTTTTAAGTTTATTTTAGAGAAAGAAAATGTAGAACTTGCTGATAAATGGATATAGAGGTGAGGGAGCAAAAAGAATGTAAGCTGTTCTCTGTTAGGCTCTGAGCACCTTGGTGAATAGTGGTTTTAATGCCTTCGATGGGGAAATCAGATTTGTGGAGGAAGTGAAGTAATGTAGGAAAAAAAAATTCATTTTAGCATGTTAGATGTGAGATACCTTACTGAAGATGTCAATAGGTGAATTGGATATTCTAATGTGAACCTCAGAGAGCTCAGGAAACTTGGGATGGGGAGTGGTACTGTAGGATAAGCACTGGACTGCTAAGCATAAGGTGTCAGTGGTTCAAACCCACCAACCACTCCTTGGAAACCCTATACAGGGTCACTATGAGTTAGAAAGGAGGTGACGACACTTAACAAATCCCATGGCTCACCACTGTATGTTGGCTAGTGGTGGTAAGGAAATGGGTAGGTTATTTGTTTTAGTTTACAGGTTATCAAATCAAGAGGGATAGTATTCAAGAAGCTGTCCTAAAAAAATGTCACCCAAGAAATCTCACCTACACCAGTGAGGTCCTGTACGGCATAAAGGGGCCAGACATCATAATGAGAAGAGACTTTGGAAGGCCTCTGGGTAGAGACAAAATATAGTTGCATATGGGAAGCATATAAATTGTGTGCCCAGAGCAGACTCTGCAGATTTTTTTCTACAAAAAGTCAGCAATATGTCTACAAGAGACATATCAATAAGATGGAGACAACCTAAATACCCATCAACAAAAGAATAGCTAAGCAAACTTTGGTACATACACACAATGGAATACTACAAAATACTGAAGAATAATGATGAATGTGTGAAACACCTTACAACATGGTTGAATCTGGAGATATTTTGCTGAGTGAAATTAGTTAATCACAAAAGGACAAATATTGTATGAGACCAATGTAAAAAGTTAAAAAAAAAAGTTGTCTTGATAAAAGAATCTATCTATGATGGTTACAGAGCAAGGGAGGGAAAATTATTCATGGACTAGAGGGTAGACACATGTTAACACAGATGACAGGGCAGGTAATATACAACAAGAGGGAGATTAGCAGAGGAAAGATGAACATAGCAGGAGACACAGGGAGGAATGCAATAAAATAAACCGAAGGTTAAATGCTGTTAATGTTGGTATGTGGAAGGGATTGCAACCATGTAATGAAGCAAAGTATATGATCTGTTGAATGTAAAACTGGTGATCTACTCTGTAAACCTTCACCCAATACACAAAAACAAGTCAGCAATATTCCTTTTTTTAGCATTTCATTGTAATTTGGGTGAAAGTTTGCATACAATATTCAACAATTTCTACACATTTTGTTTGGTGACGCGTACAATCCCCTCAATGTGACAGCACTCTTTCTACTTCCTCTTTGGGCTCTTTCCAATTTGTCTTTCTTTCCTGCCCCTTCCTGCATTCTGAAGTTGTGTTGTTGTTGTTAAATGCTGCCCTTTTTGGTCTCCTTTGGCTGATTGTTCTGAAGAGTGTTTCTCACAGGGTTACTGTTCACTTTATAGACAGACCTATGTGACAGAAAGGTGGATTCGGTTCCAGGCTTGGAGAATGTCACGGATCATAGTCTCAGGGGTTCCACCAGTCCCTATCAGATGGGTAAGCCTAGTCGTTTTTATGATTTTTTTATTGTGTTCTAAATTTTATTTCCACTCTTTCCAGGGCCTTCTATTGTGATCCCAATGAGGAAGGTGAGTAATGGTAGCTGATCTCCATCTGGTTTTTCTGGTCTTGAGCCATTGCAGTCTGTGGTTCCCGTGGTCCATTATTCCTATTTTGCTGTTGTTGTTAGATGCTGTCAAGTCGGTTCCAAATCACAGTGATCCTGTATAGGGTTTCCGAGGAGCAGCTCATGGGTTTGAACTGCCAACCCTGTGGTTAGCAGTCTAGTGCTTTTCCCACAGTGCCACACTAGGAATCCACTAGCCCTGTTTTAGAACACAAGATCTGAAGGCTTTTGCCTAGGAACAACTTCAGCCAGGTAGACCATAATTCTATCTTGTGCCTAAGTTTAAGTTTTCAGTTGCCAAAATTTTCTCGATAGCTCATGCACCTCTGGCCTACCTGCCAGAGTTAGAAACAGAATGTATCTGAAAGTGGGGTTTGGATCACTTTCAGTGCAGGAAGAACTCGGGGATGCTTTCCTAAGCATACTCCTGATAAGCACACTCCTAAACGGCTGGTTGTGATGTCATAGCCTGAGGGCCTCAGAGGCAATCTGGTTTTGTCTCTGTGTGTCCAGTCAGCTCCTACTCTTAACAACCCCCGTATAGGGTTTCTAAAGAGCAGCTAGTGGGTTTGAACTACCAGTTTTGCAGTTAGCAATCCAGTGCTTATCCTACACACCAGGACTCTTGTAACCTTTCCTATTTACTCTAGTCCCCTCCTTGCTTCCATAGGCCTGGCATACATGTGTGACATAATGCTGCTGTTAGTGTGGTTGTGGGAAGAAATTCCTTTGTTCTCTAAAGAAAGGAAGAGAAGGAGGTAGAATTTTATCACTGGTTTCCCTCACCCAGATGATCTATGTTTGTTTTTACTCCTGTTTAAGACTTAATAAAGAGTCTCTATAATGGTCAATGGTTTGAAACTACCAGCCGCTCCCCGGGAGAAAGATAAGGCTTTCTACTCCCGTAAAGATTTACACCCTCGGAGACCCTGTACAGGGTCGCTATGGGTCGGAACTGACTCGACGGCACTTAACAACAACAAATAATATTTATGGAATCTTGGTGTGGTACTGTAGGATCAGCGCTGGACTGCTAACCACAAGGCCCGGAGGTTCAAATCCACCAGTCTCTCCTTGGAAACCCTGTACAGAGTCACTATCAGTTGGAACTGACTTGATGGCACTTAACAACAACATAATATTTATGCATTTAAAGATGGGGTTGCTTTTTCTCCCCTAGAAAAGTCCTTTGGACTAGTTGTTTCTCTGAGTCTCTGATTTTCTTCACTCTTCTTTGCTCCAAATGGGGAGAGACCATTAGTTGCATCTAAGATAGTCACTCACAAGCTTTTTGAAAAAAAAGCTTTTTACTGTGAATTGAGTGAAAGTTACAGAACAGATCATCAGTACCACATTCTACAATTATATACTTTCTGTCATTACAATGATTACAATTCCTTGCATGGACCTTCAATTCACAGTACTTACCTATATTCACTGTAACTTTTTCGCTACCTTCATCTTTCCTGTGCCAACCTCCCTCTTGTTGTATATTGCCTTCCCCATCAGCCAAGTTAACATATGTGTAGCCTCTACCCCATTAATAATTTTCCCTTCCATCCCACCCTTAGTAACCATCACAGAATATTTCTTTTAGCAAGAAAACATTTTCTTAACTTTTACAGCAGTGGTCTCATACAATATTTGTTCTTTTATAATGGACTAACTTCACTCAGCATAATGTCCTCCAGGTTCATCCTTTTATATGTTTCACAGATTCATCATCATTCTTCAACATTGCATAGTATTCCATTGAGTATATGTACTAAAGTTTAACTACTCTTCTGTTGATGGGCATGTAGGATGTGCAGTGAACATGGGTGTACAACTGTTTGTTCAAGTCACAGCTCTCATTTCTTGAGGATACCAAGTAGAAGGATTGCTGGGTCATAAGGTATTTCTAACTTTTAGAGGAAGTGTCTTACAGTTTTTCACAGGGATTGCATCGTTTTACAGTCTCATGAGCAGTGTAGGAGGAGCCCAGTCTCTCTAC